TGGGGAGCGTTCCCATCTCTGTCCTAAACTCTCCTTGAGCCAGCTCTGGCACTGCTGTGGCTGTATGCTAAACCAGCTCAGCGCCCCACAACGACTGAAAACCAAGCCAGGAAGAAGAAAGATTACAAAAGAGGAGTTTTACTGGGTTAGGAACCTGCTTACCTTCCAGAGCAGGGGAGCATGGCGTGGTGAGAAGCAAGAGCCTCAGTAACCCAACCCTACGGCAGGACCACCCCATCACCCACCACAACCTTCCCCTCCTGAGGCAGCCCGGCCAGAAGAGCCCTGCCTGGGAGGAGCTGCCCCTTCCCTTCCAGAGCCAGACCAGCTGCTGGATCACACCACCCTCCTCCCCTCCAGCCCTGGGCAGCATCGCTGCCTCGAGATTTAGGCACAAAATTGAGGCCCAAGCGAGGACCAGCTGACAACCAGATTACCCTCTGCTCAGCTTTTCACAGACAATAAAAGCTCATCAACTCACCCGCTGTGGCTGATCGCAGGTCTCTCTCCTGAACTGACCACGACTTGGAAAACCCCTGACCAACGGTTCACCCACCTTGGCCTGCAGCTGTGCTGCTCCTTTTAGAAACTAAGCAAAGATTTCCCAAGCCAGAGTTACAGCTGGAAGAGCACCCCCTTCTCCTTCTAATAGTATGTGTTAGAGCCACAGAAATATCCCTTTCCCCTTTCTATTATTTCTGTAGCATTTAAATTTATTTAAGAGCCATCACATTTTTCATCCCCACATTGCGAATTAATCTCCCATAACTCAAACCACCCTGCTCAGATAAACCTTCCCCTATTCACCCTGTGTACAACTGAGCAGCAGCCAAGGACAGTTGACTTAGCTGAATAATATGTGCTGGTGCTAAATGAAAATTAAACTATAAATATTTTAAAATACCTGATCTCCTGGATAGTAAAAGTGAAATGTATCATTTGTTTAAACTATCCTATTCATTATTTCTTTCCTCATTTCATAAAACTCAACCACTAACGAGAACCTACATAAATAGAGCTTCAACTTTCATCTTGAGTTTAATCAGAAAGCTCCTCAGGAATATTTTATTCCTTTTATCAGAATACTGATGGAAGTCATAATTCACCTTAATGTGAGAAAGTTTCCTTTCTTCACTCATCAAGACATTTCTTGTTGGTAAGATCTGACATAAATCTGCTTGTTTTTTCCGCTATTTGATCTCAGCACTTTATGAATTTTTGATTGCCTGCTCTTAATTTTCCACAAGCAAATTCAGTTAAAGAAATTAAAAAACAGTAGTTCAATCCTGATTACCTCATCAGCGAACGGCTCTTTTATTGCACAACGGGTGACATACGCTCCACACTCACGGTGCTGCTGGAGTCCTTCTAAAACTGGATCACGAGAAACCTTTCCCTTTTCATCGGCAACACAAGGAAACAGCGTGTCAAGTACCCAAGTCAACTCAGCGAGGCACTTCCCCCATTCAGGCAACAATCCAAGGGTTATTGCGGATGAAAAAACAGCCTTGAAAAAAAGTCGAAGTCCCCGTGTGCATTTCAAATCCGCCGTCTGTACAAGGGCACGGGTTCTTTTCTGCAGCGCCACGACGACGGCGGCACACGGGCACGCCGCAGAAGCGAGTCAGCAGGGGCGTTAGCCAGGGCGGAGGCGACCGCTCGCTATTTTCTAACTTTCTTCCTGGTTTTACCTTGCTACAAGCGAAGGTGAGCACGTACAGGCCACCAACGGCAAGATGCTGTGGGTAACAAGCCGATTATTTAGCCTTCGCCTCTTCAGGACACAAATGAGCAGGGCTAATTGGTGCCGCAGCCTCTGCGTTACGCTGCCATTAGCAGCTGAACGCCGGAGCAGCAGACAGGTTTTAAGAATCGTGATATTCCCCAAACATCATTATCTAAATTTGCTTAGATGCAGCCACAAACTTTCTGCTTTTGGTATGATCAAACCTGTCTCTTGGGGCAACTTGCTACAATCTGTGTCAACCTTACCGAGCAAGATTTGCCCCAAGTGCTTAAAATACATGAGCATCCTAGAAGAGAATCTATTTAGACAATTCCCCAAATGAAACCCACTGTTTAAAGAGCTTCAAGGGTTTCAAATCCATGTTAATTCCCAGCAAATTTAAAAACATTTGAATAAGCTGCCCTTAGCACCACTAGTAAAGAGCCTTATTAAGGAAAACATTTGTATAAATATTTAAAAGGAATTTTTCTTACTTGTGAGATAGAAGATGCGCACAATAGCTAGTGAGCAAAGAACAACCGCCCATCCCATGTGCTTGGAGCGACGCAAAGCTGCACTCCGCTAGAGGAGACAGGCGGGCGAGCCGTGATTTCACGACCTCACGTATGTTACCCAACTCAAAACATCTCAGCACCGCTATGACTACCAAGAGCAAAAGGCTCAAGATATGATTTTCTCCTCTAAGGTAACCTCACGCAAGAGCATCTTCAGAGAAGACAGCTAAATGGACTTTTCAGAAGAGAATTTATTAACATTTGCAGTTCAGCCCGAGCCAGTTGCAGTCCATTAGGCCCCAATACTGCTCGGTGCACCTAATGAATGCTAATGTGCAGGACACGGATTGTCAGAGCCCAGCTAAAGGTAAGAGCATTTTAAAACGTGATGGCTGCAAAACAAGCTGCCAAGAAGCGGGTTTAGCAATCGAGTTGACATTAGGCCTTTGACAGTTTGGCTAAAAGCAATCCTGCTGCTAGCAGTGCCCGCTCCTCCTCCAGCAACAGTTACAGTGTTTTACAAGAGTGGGTTTGTTGGAAGGAACAGCTCAAAAGCTGGAAAGGTAATAAATTTCTCTCCCTACAGACAGTCTTTTCACAAGGACAAACAATTTGAGGGAGGGAGCGCAAGGCAACGCGAGATTTTTCCACCAATATATTAACGTAGAGTCTTAAAGAGGAGACTGTTCTGCATTCAGGAAGCCTGGAAGAAAAACATTTAGATTGGTTTGACTCAGCCAGTTGAACTCCAAGAGCTTTGGAAGATATCCAAGATGGAATAAGGTAACACATCTATGAATGCCAGAAATCAACAAAATTTGCCTTATCTGAGTTCTACTAATTTACATCAATGTTCTTTTTCTACATGTTTTAAAACACTAGTCTAGCAATCGCAGTCAGTCAGGTGGCTGAAAACGTAGTATCTGCCTTGATGGCCCAATTCACCGGCTCGGCTCAAGAGAAAATAAGATTTGGAATGAAACGCAAGTATCGCCGCATTTCGGTGCAGTCAGGAGGCACGTGGGTACATCACAAGGGGACCTGCACAGGGCCTGGGGGACTGAAAGGAAACCCAAGTGTTCTGCAACGTGTGAACATCCTGCTCTCTACAGCCAAATTCACTTTACAGACGTTATTTAAGGAGAAAGCTACTGAATTTCTCAGGTGCAAAAACATCAGCCTCCCCCTCTCCAGTTCCAACGTTTAAACATCCTAAAGGAGCTTTGCAAAGCCACAGCTTTCCCTGCGGATCTTGTCCCCAGCGGGGTTGTTACGCCTTAATGTGGGCACGGTCAGGTGGGAGTTTCAAGTATCTTCCACGAGAATTACTAATGACACAACTTAGGTAAAAAAATCACTAGTGAATGATTTTATGAATTCCTACAGCTCAGAAGATTTCATTTAAGCCTATACACCATTTAACAGATGTGTGAAACAAAATTCCATACACGCCCTGCAGAGCCAGTTTAATTAGTAACAGAAAAGATGGTTTTGAACCTGTTGCCCCACTTCAAGCACACGCAAGCTCCATTTAAAGCAGGTCAGATAAACCACACAAACTTATCATTGTCATTTATTTTAAAAACCTTATTCAAAATACTAAGTGATACAAGTCCAAATACGATAAAAATTACTGCAAGAAAAGAGTTTTGGGATATTTTGTTTGTGCTTTACTTCTCATGGTTATGAAAAGAACGCATTTAACAGTAGGATTTGGAGCTTTCAGCACTTCGTTCCTAAGACAGTGTCGTGCCTTCAGCCTCCTCACGCCAACAGCGGCAAAGGTGATCTTTTCAAAATGTCACATAACTACTTGAATACCAAGTCATTGATCATGGCGTTCTGATCCACCGTTATTTACATATTTACCAGTTTGAAAACTAAATCACAAAGAAAATGTACAGAAAACTGAGATTTTATATTTTACAACTCATGAAAACATAAATAATGGAAGTAAAAAAGGTAAAAAAAAAAATCTACTGTACCAGTAACTTGATTTACATTAATGCGTAAATGTTTGTCAAAAATTAGCGTGCTGTCCACAGACTGGCAGCCCCACACACTGTTACTTTCATCTGCCTGTTACCTGGGTCAGAATTACAATAAAATAAATTATTCTTACATTTTTCAGGCCTCTCCCATTTATAATATAGCAAACCCCATAACTGTTTCCCAACTGTCTTAAAATTCAACAGAAAGCTTTGATGTATTGAAAGCCTGGCAACTATCTACATTTTAGTAAGATTATTCAACAAGGTTTATTTCCCATTCATTTATTACAAAGATAATGAAAGTCATAAATACCATTAGCAAAAAAAACTGGACAGTCAAGAAGCTGCATACCTTCACAAAGATCTTGAACATTTTAAAGAAATATATGGTATATAACTTCTGAAATAAAATGGATTATACATAATTATTTTTAAATTATTTACTGCATGAACACATATAGAAATGGCCATGCTAGCTATTCTGCTTAAAATAGGATCAAATTATGCAACAAGAAAACAGAGCCAAAAAAAACCAAACCCAACATGAAAGATTTGCAGCATCCGGATTTAAGCCTAGAAAAAAGTAATTATATTTTAAGTTTGAAATTTAGTGGGATTTATGAGCCACATAAGTGATTTGCAAAGAGATCATTAATTTGATTTAGTGATGCCAAAGTCATTAATTTATTAGACCAAAAATATTTTATGCTTATTTTTTGTATTACCACTGTTAAGATTGCTCTAGACTGAAAGGGCGATGCTTAACAAATGGAAAGAGCACTAATTATTAAACTCTGTATCTTTACAGTTGATATAAAACCTGACCAAAGTAGCAAACAGATGTATCACGCCCTTGATCTTCCATGAGATTTAATCTCAAAACCACCCAGGTCAAAGAGAGTACATCTCATTTCAGTACAAGCAGCATATTTAGGATACCTGAATATCATTACATGACTAGGCAGGCAAAGAGTGCTAAGTTCAGGAAACTCAAATCACAGTGCTTTCAAAAGACATAGTCATTAGTTATTTTCAGGGAAGGCATTGCTTCGTTCACGTTTTGATCTAAGCGATGATATTCTACCGTCCGAGAGCACAGGCCGTCCCTCCATCTTCGGCTCTGGACCAACAAGAAGATCTGAAAGAAAAAAGCAGCCAGCTGACACAAGGCTGGTTTTGACAGACAGCTCAACAGCTCTACCGACACCACAGGCCTCCCCCTGGGTCCTGGCGCTGGCATCACTGCTGCTGCAGGACACGGCACCAGCAGGCAGCCATCTCCACACCATCCTGGCCACCCCGTCGCTCAGCGGCAACCTCAGCTGCCGTTTGGCCAAACCACGACATTCAACCCATAACCCCTGTGGTAAAGACACGCCTGTACCCCATCCACAGGCTACTCAACTATGCCCAGACGGTGACACTCGTTGGCTTATTCATCCTCCCTGTTCTGGCATTTCACCCTTGTTAGAAATAACTGTGTTATCCGTGCTGAAACAAAGGCAACGGAAGCAGCAATGATGGAATTTGATAAACTGTTTCTGCATCACAGCTCAGTGCCCCTTCGCAGGGTCGGCAAAGCAGTCAGAGAGGCTGTTTGCTAAATCAAAGCGCTCAATCAGGTTTTTAAATGTCTGTTATCTTCACCCAAGAATTCACTTTACTGGACAGGGCAGCTGCAGCGGCAAAAGGGGAAACGGGACGGTGTAAGTGGACACAGGGAAAGAAAAAGGAGAATCTAAACCAATTTGAGTGTTGTCTTGCATAAATACATGCCACTATGTATGCACTTAAGGTACTAGTGTATTTTCTATTCCTAAAATTAGTTCTACATGCTCAAAAGTAACATCAACAGACAGCTTCTCAATTACCCACATGATACTACAAGCATTATTTCACTTAGGTAGCAAAGACAAGGAATCTTTTATCACTTATTTGAATCTCCCTCAAAGTTAAATTTTCAAATGCAAGGCCAACATTTTCTCCCATGAAGACTTAGCAACGCACATTCCAGATATGCCATTGCATGTAAAGCAGAAGTCTGGGGGTTTTTTAGCTGTGTTCTTTTCAGAGTCATCCAAATCCTCAACCAAATCAGGGTTCTCTACAAGGACAAACACCAAATTTTCCTCGTACCTAAAAAATAAGCTACGATTTAATTGTAAATTCGTGCATGCATCTGTACTGGGTCTGGCTGGGCTGGAGTTCATTTTCTCTGCTAGCAATGTATTTTGAAATAACACTACTCAGGCTACTTTTGAGATAATCAGTTCATACTGAAGAAACAGTTACCT